CCTGTTATCAACAAATCATCAACATAGAGACATAGTATAAGCAATTCGCCATTGCTTCTTCTTACATATACTCCATGCTCATTTGTACACTTCACAAATTCCTTCTCCCTTAAGAAGCTGTCAATTTTCTTATTCCAAGCTCTTGGAGCTTGCTTAAGTCCATACAGGGCTTTATGAAGCCTGTACACCTTTCTTTCTTCGCCTTGTTTCACAAACCCATCTGGTTGTGCAACATAAACTTCTTCTTCTAAGGGGCCATTAAGGAATGCACACTTCACGTCCATCTGACATGTGTGCCAGTTGTTCATATTTGCTAGACCAACAACCAACCTGATTGTTTCGATTCTAGAAACAGGTGCGAATACTTCATCGAAGTCGATTCCTTCCTTCTGAAGAAATCCTTTCGCCACAAGTCTCACTTTGTGTTGAGTTACTTCTCCTTTAGGATTTACCTTCACCTTGTAAACCCACCTCACATCAATTGCCTTCTTGCCTTGCGGCAATTAGACAAGTGACCAGGTATCATTGACTTTGATGGACTCTAACTCTTCAATCATTGCTTTCACCCACTTCGAATCTTTCAATGCCTCAGCTGCATTGACTGGTTCGACATCTGCATAGAAAGCATAACGTACCAGCTCACCCTCTTCATCGACTACATCATCTGATGTGATTACACATTCTTGCAACCTTGCAGGCATGTGTCTTGTTCGTCGAGGTCTGCTTAAACCTGCTTCATCTGCAACTGGTTCCTGTCGAACTTCTATTTCGACTTCAGTGGCTGCAGTTGCTAAACACTTGTGCTCCATCACATTGAGTCCAATCTTGAAGGTCCTATTCTGAGACATTGGAGCCTTCAAGATTAGTCTACCACCTGCGTCGAGGACTCTCATCATCTTGTCTTCGACAACTACCTTGTAGTTCTTTTCGACAAACTGCCCTATACTGGGCAAATTACTCTTCGTGCCTGGTATGTACAACACATTGGAAATTGTTGACCTTTTGCCATCTTTCCTCATAATCAGAACATCACCAACACCTTCAGCTGCTAGAGTGTTGTCATTTGCAAACTTCACCGTATTCTTCGACGAGGGCTTCATGTTGACAAACCAATCTTTCCTTCCAGTCATGTGTGATGAGCATCCTGAGTCCAAGTACCACTGATCTTGGAATCTTTCTTCATCTCTTGTTGTGACCATTAGCAACGTTTCTTCTTCTTCATGTTTCGCCAGCTTTGCATCAGTCTCTTGATTTCTCTTCCTTTCTGGACAATCACTAGCATAATGACCATACTTCTGGCAATTAAAACACTGAATGTGGCTTTTGTCTGACTTTCGACCACCACCTCTTCCTTTATCTGCAGCACCACCTCTTTGGTTGCCTTGGTTCCAAGGTTTCTTTTGATTCGACTGGTTTCCTCCTTTGTTGCCATTCCAGCTACCTTTGCCTTTTCTCTCCTTTTCCGTCTGTGTCTACAAAGCCATATCTTTCGACTTTCCTGCAGCTCTCTCAGCCATCCTCTGTTCATGAGACTCAAGAGTCCCTTGAAGCTCTTCCTTCGTCAACACTGACAGATCTTTCGACTCTTCTATGGCAACTACCACGTGGTCGAATTTTGGAGCCAACGATCTCAAAATCTTTGAGACAACTGCTTTCGTCGTCAGGGTTTCTCCACATACTTTGATTTGATTCACCAACCTTGTAACTCTGGTGAAGAAATCTGTAATGCTTTCGTTGTCTTCCATCTGAAGCAACTCATAGGTTCTCTTGTGAGTTTGTAACCTCACCTCTTTCACCTTTTCTGCGCCTCCAAACGACTTTTCAAGAATCTCCCATGCTTCTTTTACTGAATCAACATCACTAACCTTTTCAAAGTTATCAGGATCAACACACTGATGAATTATAAAGAGTGCTTTATAATCCTTCTTCTTCAATTCTTTGTGCGCAACCTTTTCCGCCTCCGTTGCATTCTCCACAAGCGGTGTCACTCCGTCCTTCACAAGATCCCAAAGATATTGATAACAGAAAATCACTTTAACCTGCTTGCACCAATTCTCATAATTGTCTTTCTTGAGAATTGACAGGGTCGCCGGAAAGTTGTCGTTCGAATAGTTCATCGCCATCACTATCTTCCTTCCTTGAATCTATCAACCAGAGCTTTGATACCAGATGTAGGAAATTCACCTCACACCCTACGAAGAATTCCCTTCAATCTTGATCTCAAGATTGATGAACAAACCCATTATATGATAATGATGGTAATAACAAGTAATTATTAAGAACAACAAAAGAGAAGAAGAATAACAAACAAGAAAGAGAAGAATGAGAGAAGAAGTATTTGGAGAGAATGCGTTACCCACAACTGTGGGATTTCTTATTGAACTTTCACTTGTTAACTGCAACTGTGAAATCTGTTCTGTTGTGATATAGAATACAAAGCAAGACACCCTATTTATAGTTTTAGGTTTACACTAGCTCAAAACATAAAAGGACCAAAATATTCTAAATCAAATCTAATCATATGATATCAAATCTAATCATATCAAATTAATCATATGATATCAAATCTAATCATATGATATCAAATCTAATCATATCAAATTAAATCTGTTTACACAATGAATTATATTTAACAGTTAATGGTATTGCATTGTCAATGTTTTATTATAGTACACACATTCAATTAAAATATTTTAAAATATTAAATCAGATAAATAATTTAAAATTTACAAACTGATTTGGCAGAATACATAATTGTCATTGGTTGACAATGTAAAAATAATTTACATTTCAGTGTACTATCTCTTTTCTCATAAGTTAAAATAATGATGAGGAGGAATTATAAGAGAGTTTTTAATAATATATATAACTGACAATTTAAAATATTATTAATTTTATGACCTATCTATATAGATAGCCTACGTTATTATAATTAATCTTATGACCTATTTTTTTAAAATAAGAAAATTGATTCGAGTATTTTATATTAGACTTAATTACGTTAAAATTTGTAAAAATGTCCATTATTAACAATAAAGTTTTAAATTTTTGTTGAGTATATATATAAGTGTCAGTATATAATTTTGTTGAGTATTATGTTGAGTACAATATGTGGTAGCTTCTTAAGGGTTGACCATTCATACAATTTTACAATAAATAATAATGACTCATTTGTAAAAACAATAAATTATACTTACACGTTTGTTATAGCTAAATTTTAAAATAATATAAGTGTATACAATATTTGAGACTGAGAATCTATAGCTCACATGATTCGAAGTTAATTAAAAATATTATCTTGTTCAATAAAGTTAACTTAAGAAGTGAATAATAGTGGACATGATGATAATAACACCATCAAATTTGAAGATGAGAGAGAGCACGAGGAAGAAACGGGGGCGAGGGCGGCCTAAGAAATCGGTGCCGCCGCCGCCAGAAAACCATGATGCTAATGAGAGCTTGAACCACCAAAATGAATCAGAGAAGGAAGTTGGCATGGAGAATGATGCTGATACAGAGAAACGTGATGAATTGGAAGAAAATCATGAACAACCTGAAACCCTAGCCCGTGAGAAGAACGAAGAACCAGTGCAGAAGAAATTGTGGACTGATGTACTCAACAATAATAGGAATCCGGAAAATGGTATGGTAGTTGAGTTTGTCGTGCCAATGCTGGTGAATGGTGGACTTAAATTGAAATCGAAGAGGAGGATATTGAATCTGAACTGAAATTCTGGGAATCCTTTTTGATACTGTATGTGTTGGGAGGAGATCTAAGCATGAATGCGGTGAAGCAATTTATGACGAAGGCTTGGAATTTTGTGCAGCTACCATACATGTTCTATCACCATGAGGGATACTTCATCCTAAAATTCAGATGACACATGGATATGGATGCAGTGTTGATGAAATGACCTTACAATATCAATAACATGCCTATTCTATTACGTGAATGAACACCTTGTTTCAATCTGAATTAGGATATGCTGCGAACACTGCCAATTTGGATCAAACTACCACAACTTCCTTTGCATCTGTGGAATGCAAAAAGCCTAAGTAAGATTGAAAGTGCTATTGGTACACCATTGATAACAGATGAATGTACGACAAACAAAATTTGGGTTTCCTATGCTAGGATTCTGGTGGAGGTGGTTATTACGCAGGAATTAACAAAAGAAGTCACTATTAAAGATATAGAAGGGGGATCTTGAAGCAACCAATTGAGTATGAGTGGGAACCTCGCTTCTGTGAGAAATGCCAAAAGATAGCACACAAATGTGATGTCAAGATTTAGAAGCAATGAAGACACAAAGTTGTTATGAAAGTTGAAGCAAAGCCACATTCTAAAGAAGAAGTGACCCTAGTTGGAGAGGCTAGTTCAAGTGGAGTTATGGGGAACAAGAAGGAAGATTTCCATCAAGTGAGAAAATCAGGAAGAGGCAGAGTTAAACACTCTGTTGAATCACTAACAACAATACATTGTGAGAGTGGTTTTGAGGCTTTAGAGGTTTTGAATGACACTCTAATGCCCCAAGATAGTGCCTAGTGATTGTTGCTTGGAATGTACAGAGGTTGAATAAGTCTGGAAAGCTAAGGGAGATTAGCTTCCGTCTCCTTAAGCTTATGCCAAAGATAATGATTTTACTTGAAACTAGGGTCAAGAATGACAAGGTTAATAAGGTGCGTAACAAACTTAATTTTGTCAATAGATACCTGGATAACTATAGTAACCATGCTAATGGTCGTATTTGGGTGAATTAGGATGATAACATTATAGACATTAAACATGTTAGGAATACCAATCAAATGATACACCGTGGTGTGTATGATTTTAATGGGAATTTCAAAGTTAATTAGCATAATAACAGCTTGAAAGTTCTTCAAAAGGAGGATGGTACTCAACTTTATACTCCTACTGAGATTGAAACATAAATCCTGGATTTTTATGGTGGTTTAATGGAAACTAGAGCAATAATTTACATCACATTGACATAACTGCTATGAGGGAGGGGCCTCATCTGACCAGGGAGCAGAGACTGCCTCTTACTACTCCTGTGAATGAAGAGGAAATTCTAAATGCCCTTAAAGGAATAGGTGACCTAAAGTCCCCAGGAATTGATGGTTATGGAGCAAAAGTTTTCAAAGCCAGTTGGAACATCATTAGGGAAGATACGATTGCAGCAATGCATAATTTTTTTAATAAAGAGTACATGCTAAAAGCTTTCAACAACACTGTAGTTACCCTTATTCTCAAGTCAAAGGAAGCCAAAACTATCAAGGAGTGCAGACCAATAGCAGGATGCACTACCTTATACAAAGTTATCTCAAATATTGTCACTACCAAACTTGGAAGAGTCCTTAGTAGTATCACCAGTCAATGCCAAGCTACCTTTATTCCAGGCCAGAAGATCCATAACCACATCACTTTGGCTTTTGAATTACTAAAAGGTTATACTAGAAAAGGTGGAACACCTAGATGCATGATGCAACTAGATTTACAAAAAAGCCTATGACATGGTTGATTAATATGCTCTTGAATATATCCTAAAAGAGATTGGAATTCCTAATCAATTTGTCAAGTGGGTCATGGTGACAATGTCCACTTTATCCTACAGATTCAATGGTAATGGTGTGTATAATGAAATTATGGCTGCTAGGAAAGAGATAAGATAAGAGGATCCCTTGTATCCTATTCTTTTTGTTATCATCATGGAGTATCTAAACAAATCTCTTCATAAAATGCAGAAGAATTCAAACTTCAACCACTATGCCAAGTGTGAGAGTCTGAAGATTACAAATTTGGCCTTTGCTGATGATTTCCTACTCTTTGCTAGGGGTGACTATATATCTGTTGAAATGATGCAGGATACTTTAAATAGATTCCTTGCTTCTACTGAGCTCATAGTCAATTCGACTAAGAGTAGAATTTACTTTGGGGGTGTGGCTGATAGTACTAAGATGGGGATCCTCAACTTAACATCCTACATGGAAGGTGCTCTTCCATTTAGGTATTTGGGGGTGCCTACGACAAGTAAGAAGTTGTCTGTTACTCATTACTTACCGCTTGTGGATAAAATTGTTGGGAGAATTACACATTGGAGTGCCAAGTTATTGAGTTATGCAGGGAGAGTTCAACTCATCAAGAGTGTGTTGTTTGCAATATCCAATTATTGGTTGTAATGTTTCTTGATTCCTAAAGCTGGCATCCAGAGAATTGAGGGTACATGTGGATCCTTTTTATGGACAGGTGGAGCAGTTATCAGTAGGAAAAGTCATGTAGCTTGGAGGAAGGTGTGCAAGCCTAGATCCCAATAGGGGCTCAATATTATTGCTTTGGAGCTGTTGAATCAGGTTTACATGCTTAAGCTATTGTAGAACCTGAATGCAAAGGTGAACAACCTTTGGGTAAAATGAATTCCACTTATTATATGAAACACGAAGAGCTGTTAACTGTGGAATTAAAGGCTAGTGCTTCCTGGATCATTAAAGATATTCTCAAATAAAGAGAGGAGGTGAGAGGAATGCAGACTCTTTGAAACCAAATGAATGCTATGGGGAAGTTCAGTGTTAAGAAGATGTATATGTTGCTGAATCCTGAAGAACCTTGTGCTGATTGGAATTGCTTATTTCATGGCAATAAGGCCAGACTTAGGACAAAGATGGTTTAATGGCTGGTCTGTCATGGTAAGCTAGCTACCAAGGCCAGACTGTTTAGATTCAAGATGATAAATTCGATGCAATGCAGTTTTTGTGACAAGGAGGAGAACTTAAACCATCTTTTTTTGGCTGTGTAGAATTGAGAAGAATTTGGCAACATGTGCTTAATTGGATACATTTTCAACATGACCCGATGGAATGGGATGAGGAAATCAATTTGATCATGCTTCAAATAAAAGGTAAAGGGTGGAAATCATCATTGATCAAGTTGGGCATAACATAAACTCTTTATGAGTTGTGGAAATATAGGAATGCAGTGTGCTATGGCCATAGTGTGAATAATAGGATCATAGTTGAGACAATTATAGAGATGATTACACATAAAGGGTGGACTAGTCCTATGCTTATACCACATATAGATGAAATGATGTTACCTTAGTTTATTTTGTTTTTTTTGTCATTGTGATCTGGATCCGAGCGGTCGTCTTGTGTAATTTATTTATTTTTATTTAATCTATATTTCTTTGATTAAAAAAAATAGTGGACATGATTTACAATAAAATATTGTGATTTAAAAACTTTTAAAATAATAATATACATAAGAAATACTAAACAAACAAATAGTGTAAAAAATCGATCTATAATCTTTTCTATTTTTTAGTCGTTAAATTGGGAGACATCATATCAACCCTTATCAGTTTTAAAAATTATTTTTGTTAAAATAATGGATTTATGATAACTTTAACATGTGGAATTGTTTTTACAAAGAATTAACTGTATGGGGTACTACATGATGAAATTATATAGGAGGGCACTGAGGTCCATGTTGTTGATTGGGAAATTTTTAAGAAAGTCAAGGCTGCCTTGCGAATGAAGATGTTAAGGAGGAAGAATAGTAGTTATCTTACGTCACAACATGAACTTTCTTTTTAAGATTGTTTGGTTATTGTTTACATTGTAGTTTGTATACAACATTATGTATCACATATTCTGCTTGACATATTATATTGTGTATTATTTAAGATATTTTTAGTTAATTTTTTTTAATGTCATGTTATGTTATTAGTATAATTTAAAGGTGCTGTGAACATAAAGATGTACTTTTAAAAAAATTCGTTTTTAGTGTCCAAAAATTTCGGTTATTTTAGTCACCAAATTAATCACCGAAGTAGTTACCAAACTTTGATATCATATTCGTTAAATTGGTCACTAAATAAATTAGCAATCAAATTAATGATCAAAATTTTGTGACGGTAATATTCATAATGTCAATCGATTGAATTAAATAAACAATTAATTACTTTAATGATACGTTTGAAAAATTTAAATTTTGAATTAATGTCAATTGATTGGCATTAAACAATTTACAAAATTTTGAACTAATGTCAATTAATTACTTTATTGAAGATTTAATTTTACAACTAACTAATCCGATGCATAATCTTATTTGTGTTTAATAGTGTTTAATAGATGTTTATTGATTATTTATAATATACTATTGGCATTTATCATTGAATTTTATTTTATGTAATAAAATATTTATATTTATTTTGTTTGTTTCCTAAATTCACCAATTTTAGATTCCAAAATCTAATAATTTTAAAAAAAAATGTTTGAAAATTATTTTTGTCAAAACAATATATTCATGATAACTTTAAGGAGTGTGATTATTTTTACAAAGGATTAACTCTAGGGGTACATCACGTTTTATCACATTAGTAAAAACAAAACCTTCCTCTCCAAAACGACGCGTTTAAACTCGCAAACCGCAGAAGCATAGAGTCTCTAGAGTTGCAGCACGAAGCATCGTCTTCCTCGATTCCAAAGGGTTTGCAGAGTTCAATTCCTCACTGGCCACGCGTGTTAGATCCAGTTATTCTTGTTTCAAGATCGCAATTCTTCGCCAATTTCCGAAATCAAACGAAATTTCTCGTTTTGAGCGACACGATTCGATTCCCCGTTCCTTGATCGCTTCTAACTGTCATTAGAAGGTTTGATTTTTGTTATATGAGTTTAGATCTGTTTTCAAAATTTCAGTTTTCTCATTTTTATCTACGTTTGTGTTTTGCAGTGCAGTTGGCAGGGTCTTGAAGATGGCATCCACCGCTTGTTTCATCATTGTTAGCAGAAATGATATTCCTATATATGAAGCTGAAGTTGGAGTAGCTGCTAAAGTAAGATCATTTCATTTTTAATTTTCTTTTGTTAAGTTAAAAGCTCAATCTAATTTTTGGGATGAAAATGTTATAGGGAATTGGATTTTACATTATAATTGGACTTACAACTTTTATGGTTATTGTTTGGTATTGAAACAATAAATAAGTGTTATTTCATAGAAATGGACTGCAACCCATCCTTTTTGGATAATCCTTTTAAATACTACTTTTGTAGACCCAGGAGGAGACACTACATTGCTATGTATGACCCTTTAAACACTTTTAAAAGATCTATCGCAAATGATACAAAAACATGTTGATTATCAAAACACGTTTTCTCATGTTTGGCCACTTTGAGGGGTTGTATGCCCCACATTAAAGCCTCTAGTCCTCAATCCCACATGTAGAAAAACTCCAATCAAACTCACACATGCATGTTTCCGTCCTAACCACATGTACACCAGAACATCTGCATGCCTAAGTGTCGATCTTCTATCTCGTGGGTTGGTCATGAAGTTCATGTGTACCTTTTACTTCAAAATACTCCCGCCTGCCTAAATATATCAACAAGGACATCCTAACAAAGTCATGTTGATATTTTAAGTCTGAAAGCTCCTTATAGTTATAGTTTGTTCACTTGATTCATGTAAATGGACCAGACTTCTCTAAAGTAAGCAACTAAAGTGGGTAACAAATCATAGTTAGTTAAAATACAAACTATTGATTTATAACTTTACAACCTATTCACTCTAGAGGAGTCAATTCTCGTGTAAATGTGTATCTTTATCTTGCGTAACCTTGTTTTTGCGTGGCTTAGATGATAAGTTATCTTGTTTTCTTCACAAAATTTACATCATTTTGCAATCTATTGCCACTGTATGATAGAGGGAGGACGCTGCTCAGCTGCATCAATTTATCCTACACGCTGCTCTCGATGTTGTCCAGGACCTTGCATGGGCTACTACTGCTATGTGAGTTACATATTCGGTTGATGTGATCCAAGTTCAAATTCAACTATAAAACTTTGGCCTTATAATCCTCTCTTTGTGCCTGTTGTTTTTGTTTCCACAGCTTCTTATTCCTTAGCATTCTCTATGCAGGTACTTGAAATCGGTAGATAGGTTTAATGAACTCGTGGTGTCCGTGTACGTCACAGCTGGTCATATCCTTTATCATAGAGAATTAATTTACCTTTGAAATAAATACTATATGATTTTCAATTTGTTGTACTGAATACCCCCACTTTAAGAATCATTTAATTTAATTTGCTTCTTTAATGGGATGATTATGCCACTGTCCCCTGACCCTTACTTCCCTGTCCTTCACATGAATGGGAACAAAATAAAAGAGCCAAAAGTGGAGTGGACATCATACTTCTTTATACATTTTTGTTTTTTAGGATAATTTCCTTGACCTGTCATACATACCCGATTAATGTTGCTTCATGATTCGCGTAACGATGATGGCATTAAGAGCTTCTTCCAAGAAGTGCATGAGCTTTACATAAAGGTAATCTTGCCTTTTCTTGCACTCTATAACATGTTTCTTATGCAGTGTTTCCTTAATTATTTGTTAACTTCCAATATATCTTTTCTTATTCTACAATCAAATGTTTCTCTTGAAATGGGATCATGATTCATGATAAAATTCATGCTTACCAATTCTTGAAGTATGCTTTACAAATGTTATAATAGCTGCCGAGATATTATTTTCAGGTTTTGTGGATGTAAATGAACCATGTACATGTTATGTTCCCTTATTAGTAATTAGAATTTTAGTGTTTCATGGTAGCATGCATGCCTATTTTCTTAGCATATACCTGGTACATTATTTTGAGTAGAATGACAAAGTTCTTATTTGGACTTTTTATAAATATTCATCAAATTCCATTTTAAGTGTTTTATGACGTTGAATAAGTTCCCTCTTATATGCACAGTACATTTTTTTGAACTAGGATTTTGAAAACCACATTTTAAAATTTTAAATAAGTTTCCCTGAACTCTAATCTGTTTTGCATTATAGCATCCTTCCTTTGGGAATAGGCAGAGCGTAAATAATTTCTCATGGATTACTCTCTTTAAGTTACTTCCGTTTTCAACTATTTTTTTTTTCTTTTCCTATGAGCATATGACTGGAAACACAAGTATTAATAAATAAGTTGAAGTTTCTAAGTGTTCTCTTGATTCGTGATGATAAACATGTAGATAGTAGATACTTGAGTTAAATATTTGTAAACTTACTCTGTTTGATGGACTGGTGAGAGGTAAGTAATTGTAATTGTATGTTTGGCAAATTGCAGACTCTTCTTAATCCTCTATACTTGCCTGGCTCCCGAATCACATCATCACATTTTGATACGAAAGTCCGTGCCCTTGCAAGAAAGTATCTGTAGAAACTGCCAGTCTGCTCTTGATGATCTGTGGTTGACAAGTTGCTTGTTCATAAAGCATTGAGGCCCTTACCTTACACCTGTTAGTTCTTGATTATTAGCTTTGGAAAACTTTTTCTTCTCCCTCATGATTTGACGGCAATGGTAGATTTCCCGTTGTCTATAGTGTTGTGTACTCAAGTCATTAGCAGAAGGCCGTGTTTGGAAAGTTGTATGTTGCCAAAAGTTGTTCCATTGCTAGTGCTACAATTTGTAATGCTTATTGATCTTGTTCTTGATGATCAACTGTTTGATTAAGTGCCAAAGAATTATTGTTTCCCCCTTTGTGCTTCAGAATTTTGACCTTCATGTGAAACTAAATGATCGAATACCCTTTTGGCCTTCATATGAAAACGTTGTATCTCCACAGGAATTAATTTTAGTAATGTTTTAATTTACTGGTATATATGTTAGTAGCATTTTTTGGGTCTCAGACATATTGCATCGCACTCTAATCAATCAACAATTGTTTATTTCTTGAAATGTGAAAATGGTGTATGAAATTTATATTCGAAAGATAACTTATTTACGGACACCATGTTACATGTTCTTATATTTTCATATTCGTAACATTTTTTACTTGATCACCTTTTTAAACTCTCACTCAAGACTTTGTCATTATTTTTTTAAATCCTCTTATGAATTCTTCATTTTTTATTTAATTTTTGTGTTTGGTAACACAATCAATATGTATTTCAATACATCAACTTTAAAATCGTCCTAAATTATATGTAATGTATACTTGTAACTCTTGTTTGTTTTTTGTTTTTTTTTTATTTATTATTTTTTTTTTTTGGCATTGAAGTAGTCCGAAGATATCATCTAAAATATTTTAATTTTCTTTAGGATGTTAACTTTCAGATATGAGAAATGGTTTCTTAAGTTCTGTTTGTTTTCACTGTCGTAGGTATAACGCACAATGATGTTCTCAACCCAACTAAGAGAATTATGTGAGTTGCATATGTAGTTGATTTTGGAAAAGAATTTAACACTAGACAAGAGTTTAAGTTACGTGATTACATGCTTATATAGGTTTATGTGGAAGCTGCTAAATTAGGTTTTGGAATAATAATCTGATGGTCTGATTTTGGTAATGATAAAAGATCGACATTTTCTACGTTGAGATGTGAAAGAAGTGATTAGTAAAAATATCATATTCGAAAGTTGAAATGTGATGACACCATAATGAGAAAATGTGGATGTCCTTTTATGTTGCGCAGATATCACATAGTGATAAATGTATGGACATTTAATATGTTGTGCAATGTACATAATCATAGATTGGATCGCATGCTAGCCGACCATCCTATTACCAGTCGTTTAGATTTTGACGAGAAGAAAATTGTTGTTGAGATGACAATGAACATAGTTTATTCCAAAAACATATTTACAACTTTAAAACCAAAAATACCCAATAATATCTCGAATATTAAGCAAGTTTATAATTTTCAACATAAAAACAACCATGTAATACGGGGTCCACGATTTTAAATGCTATAGGTGTTGCAATTGTTGGATGAACATCCACTATATTTCTAAGTATATAGTGTGTGAGGATACAAAATATGTTCGAGATATATTTTTGACACGTTTTGAATCTATTAAGTTGTTTGACACATTTTCAATTGTATTGATAATTGATCCAACATATAAGACCAATAAATTTCGATTATCTTCTGTTTAAAATTGTTGGTGTTATTTCTACATGGATGACACATTCAATTAATTTTTCTTTTTTGGATGTGAAAAAGAGGATAATGTTACTTGAATTCTAGAAATGTGTCGTAGTCTATTCAAAGACTTAAAAAATATGTCATATGTGATTGTCTTTTATTGCATACTTCATAGATGAATTATGTTGAAAAACTATTTCTCACATCATATCTTTTACTATGTTCGTATCACATGACAAAAGACGTGAAATCTAAAATTAAGGAAATCTTAGAAAACAAACAAATCAAGGGTGAAAACAAAAAGGGTCAAGCTTACACAAATATTTGAACTCATAAAGGAATCGTGGAATGTTATAATCAATTTTTTTTATAAAGGAGTCATGTGTTGATTCTATCATGCAGTTAAAAAATATGTTCTAAAAAATATCTAGATTCTTTGAAATATGTTGAAACTACAATATTAGATTAGCTGAAGGAGAAAAGTATTTGTGCAAGTATTGATCATGTTAGACACTTTGTCAACACCACAACAAACAAAATTAAATATGCTCACTGTAGACTTAAGAAATGGTTTGAAGATACTAAGGGTGATTTTTCGCAAGGGTTGAGAAACAATGAACAATATGGTTGTACTGCAACATAATGAGATAGAAACATCCTTTGATCAAAGTATCATATTACTAGAACATAAATTCAAAGATAATAGATTGTATTCATAATTAACTTGTAATATATCTTCTATTGGATCAAATTTTACTTATCATGAAGTTTTGCGAGTAGGGATTACTGGTCATGATAGTTCCAAGTATGGTTGTACATTTAGAAAATATACAATCTTCCACGTGTTTGTGTAATATCCAAGAAGATGAAGTTCGACATACCTATACGTATGGATGAGGTAAATACGCAATGGAAAAGACTTCGGTTTGATGATGATCACTTGATCAAGGATGGTAAATCAAATATTTTTATTATTGCACGATGAAAGGTGATTTAAAATATATATATATAAATTGATTATAACATGAAGCAACACATCAATGAGTATATGCAAAAGATAGCCTATCCAAAAACCACTAACATGAAATCATTTGCAAATTCGGTAAAAACCAGTGATACTTCAAAGAATGTAAAACTAACTCCTAGTAATAATTCTACCAAGCGATCGCTATCATTCTTTGAGAATGTCTAATCATTTTATTTGAATTATACTCTTTTACTCTCCCAAAAAAATCTATTAGTAAGGGTACTCACATCAATAAATTATCTCCCTCTTCACTTTACAAAAAACAGTACATTTAGTAAATGCTTGGTTTTATCCACAAATATATTATCAAGATTGTAGATGTTTTTGGTGATAGTAATTGCAGATTTCCCGTTGTTTCAGCCTTAATAGGTAAGGGGTGGAGACTCATGCACTTAGCTGTCACAATCTTATTAAAGTGTTAAGTTTTCATAAGAAAGATTACACGAGGTTATACAAGAATAAAAAATCATACAATACTATAAAAGTTCAATTTGCGTGTAAAATTGGTTTTTCAACACCGAGTGAAAAATTAATATGTTTCCCTTAAATTGGCTATCTTGTAGCATGTGAATGTGTTCTTTGTGTATTCGATATCTCATATTCGACCTTACTCGAATAAGCTCCTAAGTATGTAAATATTAGGTCTAGTGCCTTGACTCTCTAAATTGTAAGATTATACAACAATTGACATGTAATAAGAAGATGCAACATGCATGATACATCATCTAAAGTGATGCTCATATCACCAAAGGGAAAAAATAGAATGATGTTTGTAAGTGTCATCTCTCAACAAATGCGTATAGAAATCTATGGTCTATGAATTAAAAACCAGTCCTACAAACACTTTTAGTCTGGATGCTACTAATACTTGTTGAAAGCATGGTTCATCGGGTTGCACCAATTGCATTATGTTCCTACCATGGTTGATATACTTTAGTGTCTCACAAAAATGCAAAAAATAATGTCCCAACATCAAATGATCAATGTCAATATAAATATGGTAAATACGATAAAAGTAAAAAAGATATGCTTGCGAGAGTTGTAAGAGACCGTATTTGTGTGTTTTCTATAGAATTAGTGAATGTCCCGTTCCAAACTCATGATGGGAATATATAAGAGGCTTCATGGGTCAGATAATGGGAATTGTGGAATAACTTTTGTTCCTCCATTATATGGGGGTGGTTTCCTTCTTTGTGAACGATATTTTCAAACTGTTGCCTCTTGCATACCTCACCAACCACATTTGATAAGCGAAATAATAGGGTGGTTTCCTTCTTTGTGAATGATATTTCCAAACTGTTGCCTCTTGCGTACCTCACCAACCACATTTGATATGCGAAATGGGTCATGTATACCAATTTTTGTGGGACCACCTAAACTCGATTGGGAGACCAGACCCACTTCGAAAGGCCAAACCAGCTTTAAGCGTTATCCCAACATTGTTGCACTTAGCTTGTCTTGGCTATAGATTGTCTTTTATGACCCAATAAAATTATCTCAATCCAAAAGTCAATATGAATATGATTCATCATAATTAAATAGTTTAATTATCTTTATGTTCGAAATATTAAGAGCAACATGGCCTAAAAATAATCGGAAAAGTGACATGTCTATGGATGGGCCGTCGAAAAATATCTTAAGTATGAGACTAGATGTATAGACCTAAGGTCTGCAATGAAACTGAGAACCTGACCATGTGAGGATGGTCCCTCAGTTGTGGAAGTCAATTGCCCTACTTTGAACTCTACACTTTTGACCGTTAAAGATTTACCTTCTCTCAACGTAATGAAACGTATTGTAATAAACGACTTTGCATATATCTTGTTTGTTCATCAACCATTTTTCTATAACCACGCAAGACAAGAGACATCACCATACGTCATTAACATAAATGCTCCATATTAAAATTAAAATTTTAATTTATGTATTGCTACTTGGTCTTACACATGAGTCCACATAAATATGGCATATCAAAACAACACAAAAATAAGCCATATCAAAACAACACAAAAATAAATATTCATAAATATTCCATCGTGTCATAGTATCTATAATGTACGAAAATTAGCATATGGATGAGGTCTCTCGATAGTAACTTTCGAACGCATGCCAATCAGACATCGCAACCAGCGGCAGCAACCAACATTAACCCTCAAATCTAACATAATTCTAAAATAACAACCAAACACTAGATCATACTAACCAAAAGTAATGCGGAGGAAGATAATATATTTTAAATCAAAGCTAAAGAAATATAACTCGAG